TGTGCCGTGACTGGTGCATGCTTGTACCCATCCCCTCCCCACACACAAAATAAGTAAATAAACATAAAAAGAAAATTAGGATAACATGATTCATTCACTTCTCAAGTCTATTTTAATTTCTTTGGGTTGTTAAATATTCTTTCAAAAAACTATTTAGAGATTTATTATTGTTTTTAATTATATGCATATGTGTGCATCTGTGTGAATGTGTGTGAAAACAGACCCCTTTTCCCTTAAGCTGTTTTTACAGGGCATTTTATCACAGTGAAAGGAAAGGAAACTAGGAGAGTATGCTTCTGAGATTTATCCACTGCAATTAATACATATTGATTTATTTTCCAGTTTAAGTGGTGAATACAAATCAGGCTATATTTATATAACAATTTACATGATATGGTATATAACTATATGTATATGTAATAGATAGCAGTGGTATATTTATATAATAATTTACTCAGGGCATATTTGGCTATATAGTTTCTTGCTCTTTTGAAAAATGCTAACTTAAGCATGTCTCTGTGTGGCTTTAAGTACAAGAGTTTTCAGAAATTGACATCTAGAAAATAGAATCATGGTTTTACTCTGAATTACCAAATTGTTCTTCAATATGGTTAAATTAATTTTACCCTTACTAGTAGAAGTTTAAGTCTGTTGTTTCCATTGTGCAGTTTCGGTTTGTTTTATTTGAGACAGGAATCTCTCTCTGCAGAGCAGGCTGGCCTTGAGCTCAAGAGAGCTTCCTGCCTGGCTCCTGAGTGCTGGGATTAAAGGCATACACCACTCCTGGCCCCAATGTACAGTTTTTCTAGGAACAATTTCATATTTTTGCTACTAATACTACTATTGTTTGTTCAAGAAAATTTGCTTTTCCCCAGGGATAGTCTTGCTAATTTGAATGAAAACATTGCCTCTCTATGACCAACTTAGTCTTTTATCTCTATATTCTTTAATAGTAGATGTATCCTGAATGAGTACAATCGTATCTATGGATATATTTGCTGGTGTTCAGTGCTGTAAGTCCTCAATGCTTTTTTCCCCTGAGTGTGAAGAGTACTATGTGTATCTGTCTCTCTGTGTGGCTGTGTATTTGTTGTTTGTTTTGTTTTTAATTCTCTTTCCTTTGACTCCTGTTTCACTGTGGTAAGAATGTCATCTCTAGTAGAGTTATTTTTATTTTTTCAAATCTTTTTATTTACTTTGTTTTTGATATAATTCTTTATTCTTTGGGAATTTCACACCATGCACCCCAATCCCACTCACTTCCCAATCTCTCCATATCTCCCCCTTACCCCTACAGCATTTCCCCAGAAGAATACACCCCTCCGAAAATTAATTAAAAATAAAACAACAAACTCCACCTCGCTCCTCTGTCTTTCTAACACTCTTCATTCATAGTGGCATCGGGAGCTGCAGTGTGCTGCACAGCATCCATCAGCCCCACCCGCGAACATTCTTTGTAGTGAGTCATTGTCTGGTTCAAAGCCTCTGGCACATCACCATCACTGGACCCTCACCAAAACTGCTCTTGGATAATCTGCTATTGCCCTGAGTCATGGAGATTCTGTGGCTATGGTTCCTCAGTACCAGTTCCTTCACAAATGGAACCTGGGTACGCTGGAAGACCAGCCAGTGCTCTTGACCACTGAACTGTCTTTCTAGCCCCTGGAGATTATGTTCAGAAGTGTATACTGATCTGTGGTTTTGAAAAACAGTCTAATTTAGTAAATTAGGAGGCAGATACTTGATTATGCAGTTACTATGACTGCGTCACGATAGTTAAGTGGCGAAATTTTTAGGTTTCACCCTGTACTGTACTGTGAGAATTGTAGCTATTCCTGAAATGTGTGTACTTCTTGATCTTGAGTTGTTCAGCATATATAACTGCTGGAGTGAGCCCCCCTTCAATTAGAGAAAACTTGTGGAAGCTTAGGGGACTGTATGTACCTAGGCTGCACTTCTTGCTTTAGTAACTACTAACAAACAGAGCACACTTCTAAACTGCCAGACAACAGTACTCACAGCCTCACGACTGCAGCCCAGACTGCTCCCTGGAAGAGAGTGGGTACAGTTAAGGCTCACTAGCTCCTATTGCATTTGTGCCTCGGTAGTCTCTGCCCCCAGCAGTTTTGCTTTAAAATCTTCTAGATTGTCCAGATCTAAAAGAAGCATATTTCAAGTCCAGTGACATTTGTGTGGATATTTATCCATGCTTTAAGGTTTGCTATCCCAGCTCTTAAGAAATGTGCTCTTAGACAACAAAAAGTTAGTCTTTGAACTTTACCAACTCTACTTTGCTGACTTATTTTTAGTTCATGCAAATTAGAAACTTTCTGGAGAATATGTCAAAGTGTTCTTATCTAATTTGATTGCAGGAACAGGAAAGGAGTAGAAGCTTTTATTACAAATTGCTGTTACTATTATATTATCAGTCCCTGTATGGAGTAGAATGTAGAAAGTCACCATCGGAATCTTCTTAAAACTCAACATCTAAATGGCGTTATAAAGCCAAACATTATTTTTTAAACTTTCTTTCCTGCTTAGAAAAATGTTTATAGTAATTTTTCCATCTGGGTTTCTAAATTTTTGGTTCTCAAGCCATTTAAGGAAAGGAAGCTTAAAAACTAGGACTTCCTGTGTTATTTCTAATAATGCGATTTGATAGATGGCATACTTGTCTTGAAGATGCGTGAGCTCTGTTCAATTTATTTAGGTTCATACCTTGATGTTTCCTTAATTGTGTGAGCTTTCCTTCTTAACCTTGTCCCTAGTTATATACTTTTGCATGTCCTTTATTAGGTCACTTTGTTGTTTTAGCCCACCTTCTTCCCAGGTACGCTTCCCAGGAGTGTTGGCTTGGCCAAAGGAGTAAGATGAGTCATCATTAATCACTTACAATCAGTTAGTATCTATCTAAAGTCTGGATATAACTACTACCCACCCACAGTGCCATGGATCTGTGATGGCACAGAAGGAAGGAAAGCCTTTTAGGGAAGCAGCTGTATATTTTTGATAATTGCTTACGACGATAACGTACTCACTAATAAATCCCCCAAATCTGCTTGAAGTGATGAAATAGAGTAGTGTGCCATGGACAGATACTGTACCAAGCCTAGAGACTAGATTTCAAAAACTTGCATGTTTTAAAAGGAAACCCAAGTCTGACATGGTGGCCAGGCCTGGCTGTCAGCCCTCAGAAGGCAGAAGCAGAGTTACTGCAGTAGTTCGATGGGAGCATGGGCCTTGGCAGCCCTAGCAAGCTGGGCGCAGCCACCATCCCCACTAAACTATTGGAAGAAACAAGTAATGAAAAACAGGCAAAGATTTATTCAGTTTGGCCATACTTCGAAGAGGAAATATTAAAGAGGTCCAGTGACCCCCATCTCTCTCTTTGGGGTCTTGGCATGTGACTAGCATTTAAACAGAGGGCAGGATGTGTGCGCCACTAAGGAGTCCTGGTCAAGGTAACTTCGTTGATCTTGGTTTGCCATCTTTTATCTGCATGGTGGTCTGACAAGTTATCAGAACTGTCTGCAGTCTCTTTCTAGGAGACAGATTCCTCTTCTTGCTGGCACCTGGCTTCAGCCTTTTCCTTCTCGTGGGATTCCTTCTTCCTGAGATTCCTGGGGAAATTTCAGTTCCTTTGGTGAAGCATGATTAATAAAAGCTCAGGATTAGAAATTGGGGTTTAACCTGAAGATCCAAGAAGCAAAACAGCCAGCCACTGGCTTTTACTTTTGACCTTTACTTTACTTTTACTTTGACCTCAGTTCGAAATTGTGATCCTGCCTCCCAGAATCTCAGAATGAGACTGTTTTAAGAGCGGTTTTGTCCCATCTTATATTCCTCTCTAGGGCTGGGCACCACCTGATTTCTATAGAAACTAGTGTGCTACTGGGATTAAAGGTGTGTGTTACCATAACCTGGTTTATAAGGCTGACCATTGGGACTGTTTTACTCTTAGATCGTTAGACAGTTACTGTTTATTAAAATACAGTTGAAATGCCACTACCCTTGGGGACCATTGTTTTAATAGTGTGGTAGCCAAAGGGAGTGAGTGCACAGGTATCTTTGGGTTTTTTAAATGTTTTTTTACATTTCACTTAATTGGGGATGTACACGCATATACCAGGCTGCTGTGTGGTGTGGAGTTCTCTCCTTCCATCATGTGGGTTCCAGGGATCAAACTCGGATTCTGGGTTTGACAACAAATACTTGTACCCCTGAGCTGCCATACCAGCCCATTCGGGGTTTGTGAATCAGGGTCTCATGTACCCCAGGATATCTTCAAACTCACTATGCATCCAAGGATGACCTCTGATCTTCCAGCTTTAACTTCTGGGAGGACAGGTGTGTGCCACTTGGGCATCCTCATGATAAACAGTCCTCAACAGCTGCTCTCCATGATCTCTGCCTGAGTCCCTGCTCTGACTTCCCTTGGTGATGGCCTGTAACCTGTGAAGTGAATGCTTCCCCACACAGCCGTTGTGGTTTTGATGCTCATTAGAGTGTGAACTAAGAGAAGCAAGTTTAGGATGAAAACAAAATCTGCTTTTGTTAGCAGACAGCTCAGTTGTTTGACGAAAGCCCTGCTGACCCTTGATTTTAAGCAGGTGTGCATGCTTGCTAGATGATGGCACATTTAGGAACCCACTTCTGTAGAATCCAAGTGTGTTCTGCTTATCAACAAGAAATGCTTTACTCACAGAACATATTTTTACATTAGACACGTGAAACGAGATTTCAGTGCGTGTTTTAAGCAAGATGCTGAAAACTAGGTACAATTGCTTGCTTGCAGGATGAAGCTTATAAACTTAGTTCCTGCTTGTGATTTTTTTTTGCCCTATAATGATTAAATTAAGTCTTTATTGCTCATCTTTTAAAATGTTAATTTTTCTTCCTTTTCCTGAATATCTTTAAATTTTAAATAATCTTTAAAAATTAGCTGAAGTAAAGAAAATAATAAATTATTACATTGATTTTCTTTCTCTTTTGTTCTTTAGCTTCACAATGAAGATGATAATTCAGAATCATCTGCTGTAGAGCAACCATCAACTTCTAACTCCACAGCACAGACCACGGAAGCTGCTTCTTCAGCCCCAGCCCTGGAAACCGACTCTTCGCCTCCACCATACAGTAGTATTACCGTGGAAGTACCGACCACTTCAGGTGGGTTTCCCTGAGTCTTCTTCTTCCCGACAGCATGGCGTGTATGTGATTATCAAGTCTTCAGTGGGACGATGGCTGGTTTTGTTTGGCTTTATAACCCAGGCTGGACTGGAGCTTACTGTGTAGCCCAGGGTGGCCTAGAACTCATAATCTTTTTGCTTCAGCCTCCCAAGTGATGCATGTTCGGAGGACAAGCATGTGCCATTGCACCCAGCTTGTTAAATGAACTTTGAAAGAAATACACGCACACACGTAATCATACTTGTATATACACACAGTGTATTTGTGCTCACATATTCATAAGGTTATAATGGAAAACTAATAATGACGCATGAGTAAGCATGTGCGAACAGACGTGAACAGTGTGCATAGTGTATGCCATACGTATGGTAAGAATGCTTGCATACAAGTCGGATTCCTGCTTGCTGCTGCTTGTCCTCTGTGTCAGGCAATTCCACTCAGTGTGTGACTTCTCAGCTGTGTTCAATTGGTCATATAATAATTTGTATACATACATGTTTTATATACTTTTATTTGTATAATTGTATGATTCTGTTTACTGCTGTAATCTTTGCGTAGTGTAGTAATTTCAAAAAGTGTCTACACATTCTCTATTTCACATTCATTATGAAGTAGTTATTTTAAAAATTAGTTACTGAAAAGCACTGTAACAGCAGCAAGCAGCCCTTTCTAAGTTGGGGCTCTAGCTCCTGGTAGAGTGCTCATGTGGTGTACACGCAGCCCTTGATGGCTCGCCAGCACCACAAAGACAAGCGTTCATTACATTTTCTTCCTTGTTTCTTTGTAGTGAACGTTGACTCCGTGTGGGAAGCTCAGGCTAACTTTGTCTAGTTACCATTTTTGTATTGGTGATCTGCAAAAGACCAAACACTGGAAGTTCATTTACTTTTCAAGGCAGTTTTTGGCTGTAATCTGAGATCCTCGATAGTGAAGTTAGTGTGTGTTGATGTTATGTGTTAGAATGCTTATTCTAGCAGCATGCTTGTTTGGTGCTTCTGGATGAGAACTGTCAACGAATCTGGGCTTCTAAAGCTCCGCCAGCAGCATCATTGCTCTGCTTCTCCCACCAAGCCCTTTGCTGCAATCTTGGCCATGTCAGGAAAAGGCTCTCATTGGCCACAAGCACTGTAAAGCAGAGGTTCTCAACTTGTGGGTCACGACCCCTCGCAGGTCCACCGGCCCTTTCACAGGGGTCACCTAAGACCTTTGGGAAACACAGATATTTATATTATCATTCATAACAGTAGCAAAATTACAGTTATGAAGTAGCAACAAAAATAGCTTTTAGATTTTAAACAACTGACCCATCTTTATTTTTGGCATGAACTGTCATGCCGTGACTCCGTCTCCTCTGGATTAGGTGTGTGACTACTTTAGTGAGGCTTAGACACCTGGACTTAAAGAGTTTTCAAGATTTTCCATGTGGTTGGTGTAGAGGATTACATCTCCTTGGATCATATTTGCTATTTAAGTTTATAATTTCAATGTTATTTTCTTAGATTGATATAGTGTTTTCCTTTAGATTTTGCTTCTTAATTGTACTGTTACTTCCAGTTTCTGTCAGTAGATTCGAAATAACCGAACTTCAGATTCTTAGCCTATACGGTAACTTATTTTTTTCTTAAAGTCTCTATAGCTGAAAATGTAATACTAAAATAAAACCTTTTTGTATGCAAGAAGTTCTATTGTAGAGAAAATGATAAACTAGTGTAGAAAATATCAAAGTATTACAGTTAGAGGAAATTCTGTGTTCCTTAATGTTTGACCTCACATTTAGAGTGTATGGTTTCCACAGTCATCATTCTGCTATAAATGTTATCAGTTCATGCTGATCTAACTTATACTAATTATATTGGAAATATATTTTGTAGTTTCATTTTTAAAAATGAGCAGTCTATACTTACTATTTTACTATAATTTTTGGAGACTATTTCTTAAAATGTTTTAAAAATCAACCAGAAATTGTTCATAGAAACTAGAGAAGTATGTGGATATTGGAAAAACTGAAGGAAAGAGGTGAGAGTGAGAAGGAGTTAAAAGTCCATTAGTCTTTGAGTGAAGAGAACATGGAGTTTTCTGAAGCGATGAGGGCAGCTGCTGAGACAGACATAGGAAAATGACCCCGTGTAGTTGTTCATCAGAGCAGAGGCCTCTGGGTCTGCCACTTCCTGTGGGATTGGGACTGGATCTCAGAGCTAACATTCGTGCATAGACAGGACAGACAGCATGGTCGGTGTGGCAGAGGTGCTGTGATGGCCGAGTTGACAGGCTTTTCCTTTGCCTGGTCGGCCTGTGAGATGGGAGTGAGCGAGGGAGCAGACTGGTGAGATTATAGACGGTGTGTACCATGAGATTCCTGCTGCAAGTGAGATGCCTCAGTAGGTAAGGCCATGCCTTGATGACCTGGGTTTGATCCCAAGAGTCCACACAGCTGAAGGAGAGAGTGAGCTTGCACATTCAAAATAAATGGATGTTCAGAACTCAGTCTTGAGCCAGTTTTGAGTTGGAAGATTATAAAAGTCGGGCAGTGTTTTATGTTCTGTAGCTTACAATATAGACCTACACCAGCGAAAGCAATCTTTAGTGTCTATTGTAAGCTGTTCAAGTATAATTATGGCTGTAAAAATCATATTAAATTTTAATGTTTATCTTTTAAAAATCTTGTTTCTCTTCAGATACTGAAGTTTACAGTGAGTTTTACCCTGTGCCACCTCCGTACAGCGTTGCTACCTCTCTTCCCACATACGATGAAGCTGAAAAGGCTAAAGCTGCTGCCATGGCAGCTGCAGCAGCGGAAGCACCTCAAAGAGTAAACACATCATTTCTTCAACAATGTTTTCGTGACTTCCTGTAGCTTTAATACAGAAATTGTTCTCTGTGTGCAGAAGTGTGTGTAGTCTTCCTGTTACTGTCTGTGTGTGTCAGTATTGGTCACATTACACTCGACCGATAAATTCGCCTTCTCTTGTCCTTGACCCCTCCGTTTCTGTTGATCTGTCTGTACCCTGCCTCAGCTTATTGCTTCTTATTTTTTCAGAGTGTTTTGATTTCAGGCATGTCCGACACTTGACTTTCCATGCGCATCTGCTCACTGTGATGGGCACCACCCTCGCAGCTCCTCTCTTTTTTGTGGCCCTCATGCCTACTGATCTCTTGGCTGCCCATGTGTTTCTCCCCATAGAGTTCAGATTTCACGGTCTTGTCATCAAAGCTATGCTGTCCTATTCATTTTCTGTCAGGTTTCCCTCTCCCTTTCCCCACTCCCAGTATACCATTTACCCCCTCTTCCCTTTCATGTGTGCATTTGCACCTTTTAATACTGGCATAAATAGCTTGGTGTCTTTATTATCTCGTTCCATTTGGCTTTTGTATAGGCTCTAGGACAGCATGCAGGTTGTTTTGTGTGAACTGATAGGGCTTAAGCCAAGGAAGCAAAATCTTGTGTAGTAATATTTCTTAACTATTAGAAGCAATCAGTGATGACAGATTTTGCAAGTAATTTCAGAGTTCTTTACATTTTTGAGCAAAGACATTCATATGTTAGTGTATTATTTTGTAAGCAACAGGTATACTATACAAACAGTATTTAGTGTATTTTAGAACTTATTAGAATAATAAAAACACCAAGATATTAAACCCTTTTTAAATTTACTTAAAAGTTTTAACGCTGCATTTTTCAGTTTCATAGGATATGTGTCCTATAGTTTATCTATCTGCCAAGTTTCATAGGATATATGTCCTATAGTTTATCTATCTACCAAGCACGGACTTGAATTGTAACCCAGTTTGTAGACAGATTATTAGTTTGTTGGTTTCCTGTATTTTGGAAAGAAGGTAAGAGGTTTCTTAGGTCAGAAGTAAAGACTTAATTATTCAGAGAAGTAGCGGTTGTCTTGCTCTGCTGACCGTCAGGCCCCAGTTCCCACAGGGCATCAGGAGAGATGAAATGATAATCCCTGCATACTGTGGGCTATGTTACTAGGGATCCCACCTCTTCTAACTGTCGTTAATGCCTACATCTGATTGGGTGGTGGTGGCCCACATCTTTAATCCGGGCCAGTCTAGTCTACAGAGTGTGTTCCAGGACAGTCCAGGGCTACTACACAGAGAAACCCTTTTCAACACCCCCCCCTCCACATAGCAAAAAAACAAAAAACAAAAACCGCAAGAATGCCCACACCATTGCTCTGCTGGGAGATTCTACTCTTCCAAAAGTACCCACTGTGTAAGTAGCCAAAAAATTGAGTCAGTGTTTCTTTATGAAAGAAACAGAAACAGGCCTGTAGAGCTGTCTCCCAACTCAGCCCACAATTAAGGGGGATTAAATCGTGTCCAGTCTGTTCTTGCTAGCATCACCACAATAACTTTTTTAATATATCATTTCTTAGAAGCGTGACTATATATGTATATACAATATATTTTAAGAATTGAAATTGCTGGATCAGAGGGCATATACATTTTTATTTTTAATTATTACTGTCTACTTCCTCCCAGAGCTTGTACAAATTTACATTCTGTCACCATTCATAAGAATTTTATTTTCCCACTTGACGTTTATGCAGTGGGATCACATCTGTCTTTGTATAATTTTCCTGAATTTGATGTTATTGCCCCTCCCCACTGTGTGTGTATGTGTGTGTTTACAGTGTGTGTGGTATGTGTATATGGTGTGTGTATGGTATGTTTTTCCAGGGTATATATATGGTGTGTTTATGGTTGTGTGTATAGGCGTGTGTTTATGGTGTGTGTGTGTATGGTATGTGTGTATAGGTGTGTGTATATGGCGTGTGTTTATGGTGTATGTGTAAGGCGTATGTTTATGGTATGTGTGTATAGGTGTATGTATATGGTGTGTGTTTACGGTGTGTGTATATGTGTTTACGGTGTGTGTATGGCGTGTGTATAGGTATATGTTTACGGTGTGTGTATATGGTATGTGTGTATAGGTGTATGTTTACGGTGTGTGTATATGGTGTGTATGTGTTTGGTGTGTGTATAGGCTTGAAGTAAGTGTTGGGGTATTATTGGGGTTGAGGTGTTCTTCCTTTGTCCTTCTCCACCTTTCACTTTTGAAACAGGGACTCTCACTGGGCCGAAAATTTACCATTAAACCAGATTGGCTGCCAGTGAGCTTTAGGGACCTGCGTGTGTCTGTTCCACCAACAATGGGTCATTGGCACATGCTGCAGTGCTGGGCTTTTATGTGGGTTTGAGGATCCCAGCTCAGGTATGTGTGCTTGTACTGACTAAGCCACTTCCTGAACCCTCAAGTCACCTTTTTCTGTGTTTGCCTTTAAAGATATTCTTCGCAGCACCTATGTTAAATACTTGCTAGTCTCTTATCTGTATGACTACCTGAGGTTAGGTGTTGCTGATGTTTTTATTCTTCAATTGAAGGTAATAAAGCTGTGATTATTTTAGTGAAATGTTTTGGTATGTCTTTTACAGAACCAGGAGGAAGAGTGTACACCAAGAGATGACTTCAGTGATGTAGACCAGCTTAGAGTAGGCAATGATGGCATTTTCATGCTGGCGTTTTTCAGTAAGTGACCTTTCCATTATATACTTAAGAAATATTGGTGTGTGTATTTTTAAAAATAACAATGAAGAAAATGCTGCTAGCATGGGTCTACCTCATTTAAAAGGTAAATTGTTCAAGATAGTGGACATAATAAATCCTGGAACTTACTTAGAATTTGTTAGGTAATTCTGATTACAGCCTTTATGGTAGATGCTGGCCAGAAGTATATGCATGTTTAAGCTGAATGAGATCTTACAGGGGAAAAAGCAGAACGAGAGTTTTAAGAGAAATACTCTATCCTTTTGAGGCTGTAGTAATATATGCAGTGAACTGTACATTTCTGCTTTGCGTTGGAATCAGAAGGGCTGGAGAAAGGAAAATTCTTGAAATCCAGAACAGTGCCTCAAAGGTATGGATATGTAAGTCTTATTCAGGGGACTAGTTAGAAGGCTAAAATCCTTAATACTTTTAACATCATACAAAATCATTAATTGTTTGACTTAGAAAGTAAGTTTAAACTGTGAAGGAAGACTGACATAGTGTTCATTTCCTAACCCAAGGATTAGCATGTATTAAATCTGTTGGTAAATATTAAAGCATGGACTAAATTGCTTAAGTGGCTAAAACCAATAGTAGACATCTAATGTTCAATCAAACATACTAAGTACATGTTGTTTATTACAGAGATGAAAATGAGAAATAGTTTACTTAATGTAAAATGATAAACTCACCTTCAAAAATAATCATTCTTCATGTGTTGAACTCCTTTAGTTTGGAGGTTGGCTTAACCCTTCTTCCCAGCTTGAGGTTTCTTGCTTCTCTTTATTGCATCTGTCAAACAAAAGAAACTAGCAAGGAGTGGGGAACAGGCAGCTTTCTCTTCAGATTCACGTAATTATATTTACATTGCTATCCAGTATGTATAGTATTTAAATCCCAAGTTCATTTTGCTGTCAGTTTTATTGGGTATGGTGGATGCCATGAAAAGGCAGTGGATTTGTTGGTTACACATAAGTGCTCGCTACTGTTTTATACTGCTAGTCTAATGAGCCGTAGTTTTTAATCTTTGATTTTTGTTTCTAGTAAGCTCTTATATTGATGTCAAATCCTCACATTTTATTTACATAAAGAACATCTTAAACATTAATTCCTTTCATTGTTCTGACTTTTAAGAAATTTTGGAGCAATGGAGATGGCTCAGTGGGTAAAGCCCTTGCTGTGCACACATGAAGACCAGAATTTGGATCCCTTAAACCATGTTTAGCAGGCATGACAGCTGCCTGTAATTTCAGCACTTGGGAGGAAGAGACAGTGCTCTTTGGAGCAAGCTGGGTAGCTAGACCAGCTGCTGAGGGTCTCTGGGCTCCAGTGAGAGGCCCTGCCTCCATGAGAGCAGCTGAGGAAGACCAACACCCACTGGCAACTTTTGGCCTCTACACTTGTGTTCATACATAAACATACAAAACAAAAAGGTATATATGCACATATCTACATTACACACATGCATGGCCTGAAAGGAAAACTACCAATTAGAAAAGACTATGAATATACCATCTATAAGTAGCAGCCTCCTTAGAAGGAAAAGCATGGCCATTTGTGTCATCCAAGTATTTGACTCTGGATGTACATTGCTTCTTTAACCACTATAACTTTTATTTAATATTCATGTTTTAGATTTTAAATACTTATAAATGTTGTAAATGCATGGTAACATTATTTTTGGTCAGTGACAGTATATAGATATATATTCATTCTTAGATTTAATACACAATTTCTGAATTTTAGTAAAATTCTGTAAAATTATATTTCTACAAATTAATTGCTTTTATGCTTTCTGTTTTTACAAATACTTTAAATAAGAATAAAATTATATTTTATTCTGGAATTCTCAGAGCCTGCTTTGATAAGCATAGATTTATTTGTAATTACTACCACCTAGTGGCTATTTTTGAAATTGCAACTTGGTTTCTATTCCATCCTTAAACTGGTAGTTTGGAAATGCATTCTTTAATATACCTTATAACTTATGCACTTCAGGTTATATTTTTGCAAACAAAATTACAACAGATATAAGAGTTTTATTTAAAACCTTTCAAAGGTGCAATTCTTGCCTTCTTTACTTACAACAGTTGTGTTCTTGCTTCTTAACTCATGTAAACTTAGAAAAGATTTACAGTTAGATTTAATGATATAATTACATTTTTATGTGTATAGAAAATAAAAGGGAAGAAATATGTATATTTCTATCTCTGGATAATGGCTAGTAGAATATGGGAAGTAATCTCATATTCAGTTAGGTGTTATCATAAACTGCCTCTTAAAATTTTTTAAAAGAATGAAATAGAGTTGCTTGTCCCTTAACTCTATAGACACTAATATTTGGTCCATTAGATGATTGACCAGGTTGAAAGTGACTGAATGCAAGTGCTTTAAAATGTGATGGACCATTTTGTGAAAACTTTTCCTCCAAAGAAAAGTTGTAGCCGTTTGTATCATGTGTGTCAGATTCTTCGTATCAGAATGTAAGAGACATTACAGTTAATTACCCAGATCATTCTTATTTTAGACCAGGAAAACCTAAAGAAAAATTAGGGTTCTTGTAACTTAGCACTTAAAAAAAAAAAAAAAAAAAAAAAAACAGAACCAGAAGACAGTTTTGAAATGTGTGACTTGCAGGGTTTGCTGGATAGTCGTATGTGGTAGCTGCATGTTGGGGTAACATCTGTCGGGGTCCAGTCTCGGTGGGCTCATGTGTTCCAGGGTAGGGCGTGCGGATTAGAAACGTTAGGCAGCAGGAGCAGAGACATGAGAGGAGGAGGATAGAGCCAGGAGGGCGATCCAGTGAACTGAATGTGTGTGCTTCTATACCCAGATCCAAAAAGACTGCTTTAACACGACACAAAGGACAAACAACAATCACTTGCTTCAATACTTGAGATATCAAGCCACTATTTTCTGAGTTAAGCATTCTGATATTTTAGGCAGACATGTAATGATAATACTTTAGACCAAGTATCCTGTAGGCAGCCACTCCTTGGGTCAAACCTCCTGTCTTTAAAATGAAGGAGCCGGAATATGCTTGAACTCTCTGACTTTTGGTCAAGGTGGAGCAGATCCACCTCTATGGGCCATCTTAATGTCCAAAACACCAAGTAACTACACCTCACGTCAGGATGTCTTGTTGGTAACCAATCATTAAATCAGACTTCTTGTCAATAACTTGGAAAGAGCAAGAGTAGGCTTAGGCTCTCTGGCCTTTAGTCAAGGTGGAGTGGACCCACTTCTGTGGGCCCCCACAGTTATATGCCAGCTTGACACCAGCTAAAGTCACTTGAGAGACTGGAACTTCAATTAAGGCATTTATTAAATTAGTGATCAATCGGGAAGGGTCCAGCCCATGGTAAATGGTGTCACCCCTGGGCTGGTGGTCCTGGATTCTGTAAGAAAACAGGCTGAGCAAGTCATGAGGAGCAAGGCAGTAAGCAGCACCTCTCCATGGCTTCTGCATCAGCTTCTGCCTCCGGGTTCCTACCCTCTGTGGGTTCCTGTCCTGACTTCCTTAGAAGATGAACAGTAGTATGGAAGTGTAAGCTAAATCAACCCTTTCCTACTGAGGTTGCTTTGGTCATGGGTGGTGTTTTGTCACAGCAGTAGAATACAAGCTGACAGGGAGGAACACCAGTCTCCCTTCTAAAGTGATTGATTACACCTTTCTCTTTCTTATTTTATCCTCATCAACAACCACTATTGCTGATATTTCTAGTTTAGACTTTCTTGAAAGTATGTAGTGTGGTCTAATTATGATTTTAATTTCATTTCTCAAATAATTATGACACTGAGCATATTCATCAAGAATCTATCATATAAAATTCAAAAGGTCCATTCCCTTAAAGGGTAATATAGATGCTAATGTATTGAAAACAGACTTGTTCTGTCTGTATAAGTTGTCTAAAATAGCTTTAGATTAGGTCAATATTGGTATTTAGTTCAGAAAAAGAATATATAAGAATTATAACTTATTTATGGAATATTATATTTGATTATTTTGTTTTTACCTTTGCAAAAAGCCCAGTTTTGACTGATCCCATAGAGATCAGACTCCACAGGAAGAATATTGTGATCTGGTATTTTGCTTGTTTATACATGAAATTTTAAGTGAGAATGTAGAAAGGAAGTAAGAGCAAGTATCTGCTTTCTCACATCTAGAACCTACATTTAAATCACATATGTTTAAATCTACACATATTATAAATATTCACATACATATGAGAGACATAAAGAAGGAGTGTCTAAAGGAAGAGACCAGTAGGAGGGAGGAGAGGAGGGAGGGTGGAGGGGTGAATATGAGCAAATACAATGATACACACATGGAAAGTCAAAATACTTATTTTATATGCTCCCTAAAAGATTAATGAAGACTGAACTTCTTCAATAATGATGTAATTTTACATCTAGTAATAAGCCTTGATGCACTGGTAACTCAAGGAAACTGTTGAGTAGACTGAAGGAGCCAGGCTTATTAGTTTACTTGCTTGTTGTACCGGATAAAGATGCAGACAGCAGCTGTGGCAGTCTGTGGGTAGAGTTAAAGAAATTGCTATTTCATCTAAGCAGTGATGCATTGCTACTAACTGTGTTTCTTATAGAAGTTATGACCTTAAGAAGCTCGTTTCTGTCATTTTTAGTGGCATTCATTTTCAACTGGCTTGGATTCTGCTTATCCTTCTGTATCACCAACACCATAGCTGGAAGGTATGGTGCTATCTGTGGATTTGGCCTTTCTCTGATCAAATGGATCCTTATTGTTAGGGTAAGCATCTTGATAATGTCTACCTAAAATGTGTTGTTCATTGCAGTGTTTGCTTCATGCACACACATTCCACCCAGTAAAGACTTGGACTTTTTATTTTGGCATTCTTTAACCATGCAGATTTGGTATAACTATGTGCCCTAACTGTATGTGAAAGATTGTTAGTTTGAAATAAGAAAATGCTTCCACCTTTAGTATCTGTGTCCTCACTTTGAGTTATTTAAATGTTCTCAACGTTTACTTGGTTTCTTCATACGTTGATAACTGCCTCATGGGATTATTTCTGAGGATAGAAAGCAAAGCATGCAGAAATAATGTATATATGTTTTGAACATATCGTATACAGATGTGTGTATATACATATAGTATACAGAAATACAGTATATATGTTTTGAATAACTCATACTTTCTGTTCTTGTGATGTGTACAGGTGTGCCTTAACTAAAAAACACAAAGGTTTCTGTTTAATAAGTTAATAATTTAAATATCTTCTAAAGTGGTTTTTCCTATGCCCTTTTGTTCTTAGTTAAGGTTGGTCAAGGTCACCAAGAATAATGTAGAGTTTGCCAAGGACTTTTTAAAAGTATATTCAAATGAACAATGAGAACTATGACATTTAGGTGCTTCAGTAGTTTAAAAAAATGGTTTGATAATCTCCATTTATATACTTCCCAAGTTGTGATACCGTGGAAATTTGTATTTTTATTATTACTAAAGCTGTAGATTTTTAAGCTTTTATAGAAATTACCAACAAATAGTTGGAAGTACTTTTAATTAACTTCAGATACAGGCATCAATCTGCATTTAAAAAATTATTTTTAGGTAGGTAAGATTCAGTTTGAGACCAGTAGAAAGAAATAAAATTAAAACAAGTTTTTTTTTTTTTTAAAATCATTTCGGTTATCTGAAATACTTGAAATAATTTTGAAGTAATTTAAGATACAAAATATACATAATTTAAGGTACATAAGCTACTTTTATAGGAGAGAATTATCCATAATAGGTTAAGATAAATCTTTTAAATTCCATGAAGTACAATGTCTGTTCAAAAGAAGATACCTGTGCCCTGTGCTACGAGGCCCAGCTACCTTCCCCACTCACACAGAACAGAAGACCAGCAAACACGGCCAGCAATAGCAACTGTTGAAATGCCACTTCAGGGTTCATTTAACTATTCTCAGCTCACTACGGGAGCTGAATGCCAGGCATCTAGTTTGAAAATGAAAAGTCTCTAATGAGTTGGGGGTCTTTATGTGTCTAGTATTTGGGTAGTGATTAACACTAGGGGGTGTATAGAAGGTCAAAGTGCTTCTTTCTAGAGGTCAGCACAATATCCTTGTCTGCTAAGATTAAACTAATATGTCTTTTGTGCTGATATCCAGAGCAGCATGTTGCTGTGGCATATATGGAATGGTACTTGTAGCTTTTGAGACTGTAAGAAATCGACATGAACTTTTCAATGAAGAAAATGTTTAGTTCCAATATGTAACCTTTGGGCATTTATTCTCCTGCAGGCAGTGTAGAGGTTCTGTTCATAGAGCATTTTATATGTTTGCAATTGTATACAAGAGTGTTTTCCCCAGGTACATATGTTACCATTAAGTATTACTCCTGTGCTTTCCTGTCATGCTGCTTTTATATGCCCTTTTTAAGCATTAAAGATTATTTGAGATAAAGTATTCTGAAACTTAGAGTAACCTGAATGTTCAAATTTAATAATACAAATATGGTTAACATATGTTCACTCCCTAGTTTTCCGACTATTTTACTGGCTATTTCAATGGACAGTATTGGCTTTGGTGGATATTTCTTGTACTTGGTAAGTTTATTCTTAATGTAGTTTAGTTTAAATAATCTTGGCTTATTACTCAGTTAACAGGTATTTCTAAGATCATAAAGTACAGATAAGCTATGTTACTAGTTGTGCAGAAATAGGGTCTCTGGTGTAGAATCCTTGCATTCTCCCTTCTCAGCTCCCAGCTCTCTTGGAGTGCCACCCCTGGAGGGCACCACCCCTGGAGGGCACCACCCCTAGAGGGGGCTGCTAGGTGGTGTCTCCTAGGTGGAAAAAGCAGAAGCTGTCAGCACAGAGAACTAGAGGCTGAATAGCAATTAAGCCCTGCAGAATTTGAAAGTTTCAACCTAATTCAAATATTGTTATCTTTAGTAATTATCTTAGGAAACACACGTGCATAATTTTAATGATATTATGCAAGTAGGAGGGTTTGAGCAGTCAGTGCTTTCTCTTATTTTTGGATCATGGAAACATTCTTTGTGCTTTTGAAATGTGCCCTTTATTAATCATTAATCTGCCAGTGCAGGGAAAGGCGTCATGCCCAGTGATCACAGCACTTTGGTTTAGTTGTCTTTTTGTAAGGCATGTTTCTTTATTATGTTAGTGAAATTTATGACTTTACAATAACACATGGTAATTAAGTTAGTTTAACATCATATTATACTTTTGACCCATATTTTAAGTCCTGATTGCCAATTCATATTTTAATTCTTTTAGATTACAGTAGGTGGCAGTCTTCCTTCAGGTTTTTAGTCGTAGTATTGCACCTTTAGGGGTTTTTGGGAAAACAAATTGTTGGTGGCCAGGAAAGGTCATTAAATTCTTTCTGTACTATTATAGTGAAATTATTTTAGTGTTGCGACTATGTTGGGGATCGTATTTATATAATGGTTAAGATAGGCTTATATATTGTTAATTCTGTCCTAGCCTCCTGAATTTTTTGCTCTTTGTTGAGTCTTTTATCTAAAAGAGTGGGGAGAAACTATCAGTTCTATTAAGTATTTAAACATAAAAGTGAGTGAAGTTAGAGAAGATAACAATGGGACAGAATGCGGGCGACAGTCCCTGTTCCCATCAGAGCCAGGATCTCAGATTTAGTTACAGGAGTACGCAGACTCCATCAGTGCTAAAATGCTGCCATCTCATACTTAAAATGAGCAAAATACAAGTAGGATGCTAAGGGTAGTAGTCACTGAGTGGGTTCTGGAAATGAATGCCTTGTTTTAGAAAACGCCTGAGTAGAACAACTATGTTAAAGAGCTGGCAGCTTCATAGACAAACAAAAAAAGGGATCTCACAACTAAATTTTATCTGTTATTTTTCAATAGTGCTGTTGTATTTGAAAAAGACAAGACAAACAAACAAACAAACCAGCGTTTTTGTTTTTGGCCTGCATCTGGAAAGGGAATGAGGGGAGAGTTCCTAGAGAGGAAGTCACAAATGGAGAGAGCTGAGTATAAGAGCAGGCGGGACTAGGTTTGATTGAAACTTCCTGCCTCCCTTTCCTTACCACGTATATGTTTCTTCTCTCCAGTCTGTTACACATGTGCTCCTCTGCAGTGCCCTGATTACTGTCTGAGAATTGGGTAAATTTGTTTTGGATTTGATTTCCAATGGGCAAGCACTTTTCTTCCTTCCTAGTGAAGGCGGTCACGTGCATCTATGCCTTCTGCTTTTGTTCTCCCCACAGCTTCTGGTGACAAATTTACTGGAGTTAGGTGCTTTCCAGAAAACAGTATATGTGAATATTTAGAGGCTGGTATGAATAATGTTAATGCTTCTACACTATTTAATACATTCTGTATCTGAAACTCAGAAGCATTTCACAGACATTTTTAGTGAAGTAAGTGGGTAATATATAAAGTAGCATTTTGATTAGCAAGCCACCTCAGCTGTCCAATCACAGAAATCACTGGAGTGGCTTGTCTCAGTTTTTATTATTAGACTCATATTAGTTAAAAATAAAAACTTAAAAACATACCCATCTTTGTGTGCAGTTTCACAAGTTTAGGCACTTTATATTGTGAGAAGACAGGCTTGTTTTTTACCTGCACTCATTTTGTCTGGAAAGTTTAAAAATAGACATCTTCATTTGCTTAGTAGTTAGAGTCATCGGAAAGGTTCATAAAAGGAAAGACTAAAGGGTAAACTGTGTCTCAACACTACAACTTCCCAACAAGATTCTTTTAAATTTTCTGTTTTTATTTTGTTTAAAGCTTTGTTTTGATTGGTCTTTGGTTTTTCTTTTAAATTTGTTTTTTTCTTTTAAGATTTATTTATTTATTATGTATACAACATTCTGCCTCCATGTATGTCCACACACCAGAGGAGGGTGCCAGATCTCATGACAGATGGTTGTGAGCCACCATGTGGTTGCTGGGAATTGAACTCAGGACCTTTGGAAGGGCAGCCAGTGCTCTTAACCACTGAGCCATCTCTCCAGCCCTAAATTTGGTTTTGATTGGGTGGTGGTTGCAAGGGCAGAGGGCAGATGGGAGGAATTGGGGAGATGAATGGGACCAGAAAGGAAGCTAAGTGAAGCATTAGTCAAATCAGTGTTGATCAGTAAAAACCAGGGAGATAGATATGGGCTGGAACCTGAAAGATGAAAGACTGGGAACAGCTGTCAGTTGCTTCCTTCCTCTCTTATTCCTCTGTCCAAAAGGGGTGAGATCCTGTCTATCCTGCCTCATTCCTTCCTGTCTCCACCTCCCGAGTGCTGGGATTAAAGACGTTTGCCACCACCGCCCGGGCTTCTATGGTTAACTAATGGCTAGCTCCACCCTCTGATGTCCATCCAGGCAAGCTTTATTTGTCAGAACACAAGCAAAAATATCACACAACATATGTGAAATCCACAAAGAATAAGTTTTTGTATTTTTTTAAAAGTAAGATTTCTAGGACTGGGCTTATTTTAAAATACATTAACTTTGCTACTTAGCACCGTCATTGCTTGTATATTTCTATGTGACTTTGGATTTTTATAGCTTACCCTGCTTTAATTTTGTTATAGTTATGATTAAGAAATTGAAAGAATTGGAAAATGTCAATAAAGTGTTATTATATTTTATCATGATGGAGTTATCATTATAGTTTAAGATAGAATGAACGGGATTCTGCAAATTTACTTCCTTGAACAGAAGAAATCATGTTTATAATTGTCTATTGTCTGTGTGCTCCCCTTATGTTAAGAACATATCTGTTATTCCAATCTTCCTAGGCCTCCTCCTTTTCTTCAGAGGGTTTGTTAATTACCTAAAAGTCAGAAACATGTCTGAAAGCATGGCAGCTGCGCATAGAACAAGGTACTTCTTCTTACTATAGAGGTAAGAAATGTTAATATGATGTTGGTTTATTCACATTATAGGGTCATATTTTCCAGATACATGCTAAATATTTAATATGCACTCATAATTTTACTTAATATATTTAGTATGCTTTATGCTGGTTGCTATGCACTTAATAGTTTATTGAAATTTAATAAGTTGCATGACCCTCTTAGATAACTTAGATAAAAATTTTTTGAATTGAATTTATTAATTTAAATTTTAAAATACAAAATCATAAATGAAAACTATTTCATATTTTCTATATTTTGTGGTGTCATGATCAAGCCTAGTACTTCACACGTGGATCAAGCAAGCATGTTAGCCCTTGCCCTTGGTCTTTTGAGACAGGCTCTTGCTATGTAGTCCTGGCTTGCTTTAAACTTGGGTTGTTCCAAAGTGCTACAGTTATAGGTGTGCACCTCTATGCCCAGAGAAACTTAAATCCTCCTTTCTCAACTTCCTTTAATGCTTTGTCACCGGTGCATTTGAAGTAACTAGCAGCATAACACTTGAAGGCTTTGAAAAGAATGATTTTTATAATAACATACTTACGAAGAAAGGATGGCTATTCTGCAAATGTAGTGCAAGGTTCATGCAGATGTCTGTAGAAGACAAACAAGCAAAAAACCCAGAATGACCCCAGATTTGTGATTGAAAAGCACTTTGTCACAAAGAAAGAAAAAAAATGAGCAGAGAGAACTTGATAGTTACTCAGAGTTTCCGGAAGTTGTGTGTGAAGTCAGCATTTATTAAAGAGCCAAGGGGTTTCTTCAGATAAAGAGAGCTTATATGTTTACTCAGCTCTCTGTATCTATGGGCTCTGTATCCATGCGCTTAACCAACCAGGGGTTGAAGACAGTTGAAAAGAACTGCATCCATAGTAAACATGCACATTTTCCTCCCGTCGCTGTCCCAGCAGTCCAGTGTATTAAATACTGCACATGAGTGGAGGTGGCACACACAGGAGAGGATGCACACGTGTTTGTCTACATGACATTCCATTTTATTTGTTGATCTTGAGCATCGGAGGAGGTTGAAGTTGGAGGGAGGTCCTGAAACCAACACATTGTAGCTACTGAGGGAGGATTTTACTCCTTGCAAGGAAACTGTGTAGTTTATGATTTGATTGTTTACATTTATAGTTTTTGTTACTTATTATAAGTGCCCCACCCTTCCATGAAGATAGGCAGCTAAGGAATGCTGAGATTGAGAGAAGTAGTCTCCTCGGGGATGAACCCTAGTTGGTTATCCAGAGCCAAGTGGTCAGCCTTGAAATTGTACATACAAGTAACACTAAATGGATTGAGCAGGTTATATTTATATCTTAACAGTAACAGAGAAAAAGAGGCCTGATTTCAAGAGGGACTTAGGTGAAAGGAATTGGAGAAAGGAAAAGAAAGGAGGAAATGATTCAATTATATTTTAATTAAAAAGATAAAAATTATACCGTTAGGGCTGGAGAGATGGCTCAGAGGTTAAGAGAACTGGCTTCACTTCCAAAGGTCCTGAGTTCAATTCCCAGCAACCACATGGTGGCTCACAACCATCTGTAATGAAATATGCTGCCCTCTTCTGGCCTGCAGGGACACATGCAGGCAGACCACTGTATACTTAATAAATAAATAAATCTTTAAAAAAATTATACCGTTATTTTTGCTGAAGACTATACATGTAAATATAATGTGTATATAAAGTTTTTTTTGGATTATATTAAAATATTAGTCTAAGTGTTCCTCAAGATCCCCTATTCCCGTAAGATACTAAATTTTCTTTTTAATCGTTAAAATGTCTCTGTGAATAGTGGCACCAAGGATTTGGTAGTATTAACAGTATTAAAAGGCAAAAAATATTGCTAACTTGAGCACTGTTCTCTGAGTAATGTGATTATTTTGTGGTTTTTAAAGAGTCAGCTATAATGTAAATATTGTAGACTCCCTGAAGGTCTTTTATAGAGGCTTTGTCTTTTAGAAAAATATTAAAACACATGGTTATCTTTATCCAAAGACTGTTATATACTTAAATGAAATGCAGCTATAAAATGTATTTTTACTGTATTACGATTACAAGTATAGCATAATACATTTTAAGAGTGCCTTTTTCTTTGTCTCCAGACTGCATCAAGCCAACATTCCTTCCTTGTACCAATGTGAAATGTCCACGTCATCTGTAGACAGCTTTGCTAGGGTAGAAGACTACTGAGAGCGGGAGGAAACTGAGAGGTGGAGCTTTGACGTTAGATGACAGGGTGGTTTATGCTTAAAAGCCATTTCTGCTCATTCTTTACTTGTCTGTACTTCATTTATTTTGCACATTTGCATATGTGCCTATTTAAAGATACGCACATACTTGAAAGTCCACAAAGTTGTTGCAAAGTCCAGGCATACTTGGTTAATCAGTGTTTGATAAAATTGGAAGAGTTGAGTGGTAAACACTTCCAGCATGTAAATGCTTCTGACTTGACTGTTAGCGTAATAAAAATTACATTATTAATCTTGTCAAATGCTTTAGTTTCTGGCTTAGATTCATCTGATAATTCCAAACATGAAATATTCTTTGCTATAGATGATGTTTATTAAAACTTGCAGTGTGATTATTAGAAAAGATTTGTCAGATTTTTGAGTATGATATTATTTAGGAAAACTGTAAATAATCATACATAAGTTGCTTTTTACATTCTTTTCTTAGAATTATGTCTAGGTTTCTTTTCATTAATTTTAAATTAAGTAAACTAAATATACAGAAATAAACTTTCTTAAAGATAGAATGGTTTCTAAAGATAGATGAACGCTAAGAAGATGTGAGTATACCAAACGCCCTTTAAAGAAAAAGAAGCTAAGAGGCAATACTAATTTTAGGGATTTTCAAACAAGAGGCTTAGATTTGAGGATTACTCACCTTAGCAATTCTTACAAGAAGAGATTGAATTAGATCTTATATTTATTTACATCTAAGACAATTTTAAAAATTGATTTATCAAATATATTCTCATTTGCATTTGTCATTTAAAAAGTCAATAAAAGTATCTTTCAATATTATTGTAATCATTTTTCTTTAAATGCTTAATTTGTTAAGCTTAGCAAATAAAATCTTGTTCTGTTAATAGCGCCTTGCTTAATGATTGTAATTTGTAAAAACGTAAGCTGAACTGAATAATGGAACATACATATTTTGATTTTATGGAAATGTATCTGTGCAATATAGGGATGCTGAGTGTCTGTGGTGAGTGCGTGTGGCCATTACTCTGACTGGAACCTGCTTTTACGTCCATAGCTACAATGCTTGGCGTCTTATACATCGCTGTCTCCTGGGGTTTTCATTTTTATCTTAGCTTTAGAACAGCAGCAGCAAAGATGATAGAAATTACATTACTGCTTACATGTAAAGATTGTCACTTCATATAGCTACAAAGAACATACAAAATTGATTGCTAGACACGGACTAAAAGGTACATCTAACTATTCATGGCCATTATTCCAGTTTTAAGGAAAAATAAAATTTATTATGTTTTATTACCTCTTTTGTATTTCTTGTATTTTATGGTTTTTTTCATTGTTTTTGGTAAATAAAACATGTGTTTTGTTTGCTAATTGAGCCTCCTAAATTGTTTTCCCTAATTCACGTTATTTCTCTCCTTTGTAGAATTTTTCTTGTTGGTTGAAGTCCATGTACTCCACCCCTTGAAATAAAGTCCTAGCCTGGGGAAGGAGAACAGGGCTGAGCTTTGTTACCTGCATGGGAGCCTGCACTGGGTAGCACAGAGAACTCACTCTGGGGTTCTGTCGTCTCTGCGTGTTCCTGTAGCTTTAAGTTACAGGGAAGCTCAGCTACCGAACAGCAATCCATTACAATTGCATTTTAGTTTTATAGTATCCATATTTTGGCTTTGAATATGTATGTGCCATTTTTGATTCAACATTAGAACATCACATTTTTATTTTGATTTCTCCCTTAAATCTGTAAGTTCAAATGTTCATAATCCTCTATAATTTTTCTAGTTCAATGGTAGACATAAATTTCATCTCCCAAGCAGGATTGCCGACCGAAGTGTGATTTAAAACCTTAGTATTTCTTTTCAGATAAGTGAACTCCCACGCATGTCCTGTCGTTTACTGTGAGCTTGGACAGCTGTTCTGTTTTGAAAGACCCTTGGCCACATTTACATGATGCCTTAAAGACAGAAAGTCAAGACCCACAGCATCTAAACCATTTTGAGTGAATGGGAACCAGAGCTTGGATGTTAATATAAAAGTATCTTAAGTGATTTTTATTGTATTTGAATAAGCTTGTTTTGAGCTGAATAATCCATTTAGATGTAGTTGTGCGATCGACTATTTCATAGAAAAATGTGTTTTTCTATGTAGTGCATTAGGATGGCTTTTAAAAATTGAAAGTTAAAAATGTGAATCCTGTTATACCAAATTAAACTGAAAGGCTGTACTTCACAGAAAAAAAAAAAAAAAAAAAAAACAACTGCTAATCTCCAACCAGTTATTTTAAGCCCGTCAGATAAATCCCAATTTAGACATGTCTTTGAAGTAGTTCATAAATTTTAGTCATAATCACAGGTATTTTTTTTCTGCTTCTATCCCCCACCCATTTCTTTTTCATCTAGGACCTCATGAAAGCTACCCACTCACTCTACCACTGAACTGTACCTCAAGCCCTGTTTTTATTTTGACATAGGGTCCTGGGGTTGTCCCTGAAGTCACGCTGTAGTTCAGAACAGCCCTTGAATCTGCCATCCCCCTGCCTTAGCTGCCCATATAGCTCAGAGCACATACCTGCACCATGTTTTCAGTTAAAGCTTTTATAACTAGGAGAGTAGAGTTCAAAATGTCCAACTGGAGAAAAAGTCAGGGTTTCTCAACACTTTTTTTTTCAAAAC